ATGCCAAACTCAAAGTGCGATTGAGATACAATTAAAGCGTACAACATAATTCATATTAAGTGTCAAGATATTTACATAAGGGCAATACTAGTTTTACAAAGACACATATAAATGGGGTATACAAAGACAATCTCCATCCTTGATTTTCATGATTTCTCTCTCTCTTTTTCCGTTTTTTCTTTGTTTTTTTTTTCTTGATGATGTCACTTTATATCCCTCTTTGTATGGGTCTTTGTAAGGATAATATTTTTCTTTACATAATTAAAAGCTTAATATATAATTGGGGTTAACTTTTAGCTAGCTGTGTTAACACCTGTTTAGCTCCTTGCGGTTAGATCCCATTAATTAATCCCCAAAATAACTTATTCTATAAATTAATTTGTATTACTCTCTTTGCTCTTGATGTTAAATTATTCTAAGTTCATTCTTTATTATTAGAACATATGGTTAATCGACAAATGTAGCATGTTCTTTTTTGGAAATTGCTTTATATTAATCCAATGATTAGCTTAATTATAGTATGGCTATTATTTATTAGAATAAACAACTTTTTCTCACCGAAGGTTTGCCTTAATGACGCTTTCTCATCCAAAAAGTTTCAAAATAACGCTTTCCCACTTGAAGTTAATGTTCCGATACCACGTACCCAAAGTCAATTCCAACGGCGAAAATTCTATCTATCACCATCATTTGAACCTTTGGTCTATTCTCTACAGAATCTCTCTCACTTCGATATCTGATTTCTAGGTGATTGCTGACCACCACAAAACTAGAGTTTCCTATTCTTAGCTGATTTCCGGATAATTCTGGCGACGATTATTCAATCGGTCACCATCATTCGATCCATCGGGCTCCACACTACAAAAACACTCTTACCCTGCTTGTTAGTAACTCGCCGAATGCCAGTGAAGTGTATTTTATGTATTAACGGAATATAAACGTTGGGTGAGAAAGTGGTATTTTGAAACGTTTTTTGTGAGAAAGTGTCATTAAGACAAACCTTGGGTGGGAAAAAGTCGTTCTCTCTTATGTATTATAAGGATTTTATTCATCCTATAATTCTCTCAAAATATAACTAATAAGTTCATTTATAATGGTAACTAATAAGCTTTTGAAAATTGTATAATTTGAACAAAAGAGATGCAAAATAAAGATGAATTACAAAGATTTTCTTCAATATTATTATCGTTCGTTTAATTCCATTATAATTTATAAGCATTACAAAATAATTTAATGGTTATTATAATAATTAAAATAAAATGCAATTAAAATTAAATAATATTATTGATTATACAAAGTGGATCAATCTTTCAATTAAATGAACAACATTTTGTCGTTAATTAATCTACTAAAAGAACTCCACATCCCAATTACTAATAAAACAGCACAACTATCTCTTCTACTACGCATAATTGCACAGACCAAAAGAGCAAAACTCTCCTTTGTCACAGCGATTGCCGCATCGGCCACAATGCTTCTTGTTGAACGACGGATTAACGCATTTCCCTCGGCAACAAATCTCATTAAACTTGCACTTCTTCCCACACTTTCCACAATTCATCCGGTCCTTCAACACATCAACACACTTCTTGCAGCAAGTCGGTCCAGGGCTCCCCTTGGACTGGCAAATTTTAGGGAACTTCTTACAAGTTAACCTGAGATTCCAAGTGCCTTTTCTTTGCCTCAGCGACCGGCCGGCGCCGCTAAAAGAATGACCAAAATCGTCATCATCTTCTTCATGAGCTTCATAATCAACTTCATTATTGTTAGTTTCTTCCTCTACATTTAGTATTGTTTGTGCCACAATGTGTAGAACTAGAATGTCCATAAGGAGAACCAAGATCAAGAATGGCTTTGTGGACTTCATGGGGTCAAATTAATTATGAAGAAAAGAAGAAGAGAAAGAGTTGTCTATGTTAAGCTTGAAAAGGAAGGAATTTTTAAAAGGGATGGAGCGAGGAGAGAGTGAGGATGAGAGGGGTTTATATAGAAGAAACTAAGGTTGACACATGAAGGGTTTTGATAGTGGAGTGGTCTACTTTATGGTATAAAAAATGTAACATAAAGCAAGACAGATTAAGTTAGGTTCCTCTCTGATTTTTCTGAATTTAAAACAAGTAAATGGAGGGGACACAGGAGAGTATAGGCAGACTAAATGAAAGTGAGAATATATAATAACATAAACCATTGAACTAATGACACCGTATACTATATAGTATATTTTATATATGAAATTCAAGTCAAAAGGCATGTGGGATTTTTAGAGCTCTTAATCTTAAGACTATGAAACAATAGTCAATAGTTGTTAGATAAATTTTTGTCGAAGACTTGTATGCAGTATGTGCGACTTCAATCTATAAATTTTATACAATATGACTATTTCCAGTTACAGTCTTATTTGAAGATGACATTGCCTTAATTATATCAAGTGCTAAGAGTTCTGTTTGTCTTGATTGAATAGATAAAACAGAATGGATAAAAGAGCAAAAAGAGGTTCTATAAGTTCTTGAATTCGAGTCCGAGTCCCCTCAGGTATTAATAGGAGTAGCTACAAGAGCTCTTATCCGACTAATAGTTCCAAGATCTTGGGAAAATAGTTTAGGTATGCACAAATTAGTTCTGAAAATCCGATGATTAAAAAAAAAAAAAACAGATCTTTCATAAAGATAGTTTTTCATCTGTTCCAATAAATTAAATTAATTTTTTAAATCAGGATTGGTGGTGGTGGAAGAGAGCTTGGCCAACCAGAATGCTCTGCGACATCGTGCCTGCATTACAACATTTATTCTAGACACCATATTTATAACCCTGTATTATGACGGAATGTGGCGTCCTACTACACCTTCTCAACCTTGCAAATTTCGGCAGAAGATGATCAAGTTTCACTGTTTCGGTGATGCTCATCAGCATCGCAACCGAGGGTATTTCCAATGAATTTTTTTTTTTTTTTTTTTTTGGGTGATTAAGGGTGTTTGGACCAGCTTTTGTATACCTTAACTAATCTTTGGGACCTTGGAACTATCGGTAGGCAAGAGCTTCTGTGACTATCCCTATTAGCAACCGAAAAGGGACTCGCCTATTAAGTAATACACCTAAGAGTCTCTATCGAACCACTCGATCACCCAGTGATAGTTTTTTCCAATGAAATTTGTCTACATCTGAATAAATGTTGTCGGAAAAAACCAAATTTCTTGTGGTATCCAAAATTGTTCTGAAGATCCTGAACTTTTGAATCTAAAGATTTTAGAGGATGGTAATACTATCAGTACTGTTCACATTTAAGTTTTTTGTAGACAGTAAGTTACCTCTAGAGCTTTAAGGCTACACTAGTAAGGCTGCATATATATATATAGAGTTGCCATTTTGGTAAGAAAATTCTCCTTTAAAACCTCTATAAACTCATCCGTACATTAAAAAAAAGCTGAAAAGAGTAAAGACAGACGACGAGAATCTCTTATTTTACATGTAGAGTTGAAGCAAAGGTAAGGAATTTCTTAAACTGCGAGGTGATGAAAAGAATAATTATAAGATGGCTAGTTTGACCTGAAACACGTTCGTGATAATTTACCAATGCTTGGTGAATAAGCATACTAAATTACTGTGGCGTCACCAAAAGATGCTACATAACTTTTCTATCCACCCAAACACACTTTATGGAAATATATCCAAAATCAAAGTGATGAAGAAGTTAAGTATCCAAAAACACATTACATGTTCTAAGATTGAAACACACTATATATGTAACCAATCTCTGGGTGGTCAAGTGATTCGATAGAGACTCTTGGATGTATTACTTAAAAGGTCTTGAGTTCGAATCCCTCATCGGTTGCTACTAGGGGTGGCCTGAAAAAGTAGGGTTGACGTAAAACTCAATTAGCATAAAAAGTCAGAGCTTAGGTAGGTCTGCAGCCAGTCAGAGGTAGCCACGTCACACAATGACATGAACGGTATGCTCTTGTTAGGGCAATGGGTGCGCGTTAAACCAGCCAGGAGCTAGAGTGATTCCACGTGTCTAATCTTTGCACCAAATTGCGTAAATCGCTCTAGGAGGTGGGCAATGGGACATAAAGAATGATTTGCACGGATAATCCCACCAACTCACAGATTTAGTAATCATAACCTTAACTCATCCTATTATAAATGGAGAGCTTCTCTCTCATTTGGGGGATTAGCTAATCTCTCTAAAGAAAAATTGCATTCTCTCTCTCTCGTGTAATCATTTGTAAGTCAACTCGCTGAATGCGACCTGGTCACTATTATTAATACAAAATTAGTGGACGTAGGATTTGCTTCCTTGAGCATCCGAACCACTTTAGACATTGTTCTCCATTGCTTTTACTCTCACTCTCTCATCCACGTGTGTCTTCTGGGATAGCTCAGCATTTCACACATATGTTTGATTGGTGTCAAAATCACACATTAACAATAACCAACCTTTAGGTGGTTAAGTGGTTTGATAGAGACTCTTGGATGTATTACTCAAGAGGTCTTGAGTTCAAATCCCTCATCGGTTGCTACTAGGGGTGGCCTGGACATTAATTTATATAATCAACCGTAATAGAGATTTGTAACGGCACAACTTTTGTCGGAAGTCGTTGAGTGGCCAACGGCGTTGATATATGTGGCATATTACGACGACATTTATCTATGACATCGAAACAAATGCAGTTGAAAAAGAGCAATATTCTTACCTAGTTCGAGAGGCATATCACCATCAGAAACTTAAAGTGAACATAAGCTTATAGCTTTAAGGTTTTGGCAAGAAACAAATACAGCTGGGATAAATAACTTGGTGATTATTCAACAAAAGCATATATTATATATATGTAGAGTGATATTCTGAGGCCTCTTTTTCTACTTTTACAAAGAACTTCTTGCAGGGGGCTTACCAGAAAAGAGAAGTAATTAATATATCACACTCTAAACATTCAAAGCTAAAAGCTAACATAGCTACACATAATATAAACTAAACTATATTGTAAAACAAAGAAACATACACATCATCAAAGAGACTCAAAAAATGTATTCTTCATCAACTAGGCCTACTATAATCTTCATATTGGCCTTGTTCATCCTTTTCCCCACTGGCATTTCTCCTATTCCCGCCATTAATACTTGCAGTGAAGCCTTCTCCAGGTTGAAAAGCAAAAGAAACATCACACAATGCAAGAAATTACCCACTTTAGGGGCTGAATTTGGGTGGAATTACTATGACAATGATGAGAGAAGAATTGACATTTTCTTAGGCACAAAGCTACATTCTGAAATGGGGTGGCTCGCCTGGGGGGTGAACCCTCTTGAAGTGCCTCAAATGGTTGGCACCAGAGCCATCATCGGCATCAAGCTCCCAAATGGTTCATTGACCATTGACACTTACAATATCACAGCTGAATCAAAACTTGGCTGCAGGCTCCAGCCTTCAAACATTGAAATTGAAGTGATTGTTAGGAACAAGAAAACTGAATATGTTGATGCAAACCGTTATTTCACAATCTATGCAACATTGATTCTGCCTAGCGTGTACAACATTTCCAGATTGAACCATGTATGGCAGGTCGGTTACCTCGCCGAGGAAATGGAGCCGAAGATGCATCCCTCATATCTCCAGAATGTCGACAGTACAGAGACCATAAACTTGAAGACTTTTGAGAGTCAAAGCATCGGAACATATAGGCATCATATGAGAATGGTAAGAAGCTAAACTATCATAGTATCTATCTGATAACGTTATCGAAAATGTTTTAAAACGTTATTGGGTATAATTTACAGGTACATGGGATTTTGAACATTGTGGGGTGGGGGATTTTCTTGCCCATTGGTGTTATTATTACCAGATATTGTAGGGTTCATCCAATAAAGGCCAAGTCCTGGTATATACTTCATGTCAGTTGTCAAATTGTTGGCTACATTCTTGGAACTGCTGGGTGGATCATCGGAATTTGCCTCGGAAAAGTTTCAACACATTACAGTTTTCATACTCACCGGATTCTCGCAATGTTCATATTCACATTCACAACATTACAAGTAATAATCAACTCTCCTCTCAATTTAATAGTTTTTTTTTTTTTTTTTTTAGTTAATTTGATCATGCTAACCGATTCGACCCATTTATGTAACAGATGCTGGCGTTGCAGTATAGGCCCAAAGGAAAAGACGATTATAGGAAATACTGGAACATGTACCATCATTTTCTGGGATATTCTTTGCTTGCTGTGATCTCAATCAATATATTCCGTGGGATTTCAATTCTGAAGCCAGAGCATCATATTTGGAAATGGTCTTACATTGGAGTTCTAGGAGTTCTTGGTTTGATTACTTTGTTTTTTGAGATCTTTAGTTGGAAATGGAGAAACCGATCTCCTCAATGGAAAGCTGCTGGAACTAACGTTGAAGTCACTGTTGTTTAATTTATTTCTTTTCAAATAAATTTGTAGTATTTTTCAATATTTTTTTTTTTGTTTGTTTGTTTGGATTGAAGTTGATTTGTATTTTTTCTTTTTGAATCAAATTTGATTCACTTTTATAAAGTTAATAGCTTATTAGTTGAAGGATGATGGACTTTATAAATATTTGGTGTATTTTTTTTTTTTTTAATTTCTTTTATTGTCTTCTATACTAATATTTATGAATTTCTGTTTTAAAAAGTAATTAGACATAATAAAAGTTGTATGTGACGATAACATAACATGAACAAACCAATTTTTGGGTGGTCGAGTGGTTCGATAGAGACTTTTGAATGTATTACTCAAGAGGTCATGAGTTCAAGTTCCTCGTCAATTGCTAATAGGGGTGACCACTTGAGCTCTTACTTAATCGGTAATACTAGGCTCTCACAGGATTAGTTAACGCTAATAGGGGTGGTTATTGGAGCTCTTGTCTGGTTGGTAGTTTTTGGCTCTTGGGGGATTAGTTGATATTAATAAGGGTGGTCACTAAAGCTTTTATTCAGTCGATAGTTTTATGCTTTTGGGAGATTAGTTGATGCTAATAGGGGTACCCGATCGGTAGTTTCAGGCAAGGTTTTAAAACCCAACCTAGGGCCAAGCCACCAGGTCATGTGTTTTACGGGTCGAACGGTCCGACCGGTGGGTGATGTCAGAAAAAAAAAAAACAATTTTTTTAAAAAAAATACAGATTTTAATTTTTAATGGGTTTTTTACTTTTATTTTTCTTCTCTCCTGGTGTTGGTTTTGTCGAATAAAAATAGGAAAGGGAGAAGAGAAAAGCTGAAAAGGGTTACTTTTAATTTTTAATTATTTTTTTGATATTTTACTGTAGCAACTTGGGTTATACCAGTTAGACCGGTGATTCGTTGGAAAAAAAATCGGTTCAACCGCAGGTGAAAGTGGGTCAATTGCTATTTCTGATTTTTAACATTAACCGACTCGGTCTAGCGACCGGTTTCCGATCAAACTGGTTCAACCGATCGGGTCAGGCCGAGTTTTAAAACCATAGTTTCAAGCTCTCGAGGGATTAGTTGAGGTGCGTCGTAATTAAAAAAAAAAAAAGAACAAATTTAATATAAATGATTTGGGTTTAGTTTATTGGTTTATGTCATCATACATGGTATTCGTAATCAATTTAAAAATCAGATTGACATATTTACTTCTGTTATCTAATTAATTAAAAATGTTTTTGATTAATTTTACTAATAAAATATCTTACAAAACGCACCAATGTGAAGAAATAAAATTTTAAAATTGATTTTCTAAGGAAAATGATTTTTTTTTATTTATTTGAATTTGTAATAAATAAAAACCACAATTATTTCACTCTTACAAAATATTCACTGATCCACAAATAAAATAAAAAATCTCTTTAAGTGAAAAAGCTTCTTCCACGTTCCCAGTTAAGAAGCAAAAAATGGCTGCTCCAGCGGTTGAAGGCGCAGCTGTCGCTGTGACAGCCCTCCGCTCGGTCCTACTCCGAGTCCGACAAGCGGCGGAGCGATCTGGACACCGGCCCGAACGAATCCGGGTCGTGGGTGTATCGAAAACCAAACCGGTTTCTCTCATCCGCCAAGTTTATGATGCTGGTCACCGTTGCTTTGGCGAAAACTATGTTCAAGAAATCATCGACAAAGCTCCGCAAGTACATTAATAAATTAAAAATAAATAAATATTTAGGTTGAGGATTTAAGTTTTAATTCTTGATTAGATAAGTTAATGATGTAATTATGTGGGTTGGTTGCAGCTTCCGGAGGACATAAAGTGGCATTTTATTGGGCATTTGCAGAGCAACAAAGTGAAAACGCTTCTGGGTATGTTGCATTTTGGTTGTTTATTGATGCTTGTATTGTTAAAATACTATATACCGGTTTTGAACTTGTGGCTGGAGGAATTCATTGAAAAAGAGAATTGTTTTGTTATAGTGAAGTGTTGATATAACTTCGTCAGATTTTTCCTATTAGTAAATTTATTGTGCGAGGAGCTCAATTCAGATTTTAGAGAACTCTATATATATTGGTGTGCTTTTATGTGTGGAAGAGTTGACAAAGTTTGCCAAACCTTGTCCCTTGATCGTGCTTAATTTGATTTGAAGCTGCTTGTTTTACAGTACATGAGAAAATTTATGGCAAGTGTTAAGGCTTTGTTTTAGTCATGCAGGTGGAGTGCCAAATTTGGACATATTTGAGGGTGTAGATAATGAGAAGGTAAAGATGTAATTCTTTCGACTTCTATTTCATGTTAAGAAGCTTTAAATAATTGGATATCAGCTGTGATAAGTTGAAAATATATTTTATTTACCGCTGTGATGCATCTTAGAAGTGTATGATTGCAAGTCTAATAGAAATTATTAAAAAAAATTTAAGCAATTTTCATATGATGTAGCAGTTGCTCATTAAGACAAATGCTTATTTTATGCCTTTGTTATTTACAGATTGCAAATCATCTTGACCGAGGTGTTGCAAACCTTGGAAGAAGTCCTTTGAAGGTTTTTGTCCAAGTGAATACAAGTGGAGAAGCATGTGAGCAAATGTGCTAATCCTCATTATTGCATTCATTGCTTTCTAATTCAATCAGGGGAAGAACGACTTAACTATCTGTAACCTACTTGTTCATTTCTAAAGAGCCGAAGTACTAAGAAGACTACCTATCATTTCAGATGTCGTGCTCACTATGTTTTATGCATTCTTGCTGTTTCTACAAGTCATAGTACTGGATTTTTATACATTCTGAGTCTTGAATTTATTATTATCTACTCATAATTGTAGTATAGTCATTCTGACAAGTGCAACCTCTTTCCCATTTCCATTTCCAAGTTGGTCGCATGTATTTGTTAACCTTCTAGGTACATTTCCGGTATATTCCTCCATTCCATGTAACTTGTGCACAAAATTGCTTAACATTCTGTATACTTATTCGCCTTTCATATTGTTACTGGAAGTTGGAATACCCAGTTCATTAATTATTGTGGCTTTATTGCAGCAAAATCAGGCATTGATCCTTCAGGTTGTTTAGGGCTTGTAGAGTATGTGAAATTGCACTGCCCAAATTTGGCATTTTCAGGCTTAATGACAATAGGGAACCCAGATTATTCATCAACTCCTGAGAACTTTAGGGTAATGGATCCTGTATTTATATATTTTTTGCACTTAAAACATGGCATAAAATCCAAATGTGTTATTGCAGTTTTACTTATTGGTTTGTCCTTCCTGATATTTCTCCTTTGTCTCTGTTTTAATTTGGTGTTTTAATGCAACAGACTTTATTAAATTGTAGACTTGAGGTTTGCAAGGCGCTTGGAATGGCAGAGGATCAATGCGAACTGTCAATGGGCATGTCTGGTGACTTTGAGCAAGCTGTATGTAATGCTGACGGGTTTGAACTTACTAATGTAGTAAACTCCCATTCTTCTTGATGATTGAATGGCATCTTTCCTAGCTTGATTCTTTAATAAGCCACACTACAAGAAGTTCAAAATCTTGAATACCTTGATATTGTACCCTTCAAAGCTATGATAGGATCAAATTAGAAACCTAGTTTTGTTCATTGTATGAAGTTTGCTTCCCGAAACTTCTCATGCGAAACATTTCCAAAATAGTAAAATACTAGGAGAAATTAGAAGTTCCAGTGAAGTGTTTGGATAAATAGTTGACAAATTCCTTTCAAACATCTAAACGACAAAATTACTTCTAGAGCTTATGAGAACTGAGTTTCACATGATTCTTGTCATCAAGTTCGAAATTTCTATAATGATAACTAAATATTGGCCTTTTTCCTGTAAGGTAAATATTAGATTTCTGGAACGTGTTTCTATGTCCTCCATTTTGTTTATCTATAGATTTTGATTGTGATTGATGGGTTTGAGTTTATGATTTATGCAGATTGAAATGGGAAGTACCAATGTCAGAATTGGATCAACCATTTTTGGACCGAGGGACTATGCAAAGAAGCAACAGAATTAGTGTCAATTCTCCTGCACTCATGCTTCTGCTGATGTGTTCACTGTACCAACATGTAAACTATCACAGTCAAAAGTGTTTGTTCTTCTCTTAGTATCACTTCAAAACGAATACAGAAAAAGATTTTAACTTCTGCTTCTCATTCCAACTGGGTCAAGGCCTCGTCGACAATAGATGCTCCGAGCACGATCTGGAGGCTGAAAGTGTAATACTGAGAAGTAACCTTACCTAGAGTTGTATTTGATGGATCTTATCGGATGAGTTGTTGGCTTGGCAAACTATTTTTAAGCCAAATTGATGCTACTTGGATTGTAAAGACTATTGCCATTTTGTTTTATTCAAAACATATAAAATAAGGTTTCATATAATTCTTTGTATCACCTGTAACTTGCATATCTCTTTTTAAGCCCAAGAGGGCTTAGCCAGGTATAGGATTTGAGCACCCTTATAAACATTTACATAAAATCTAGTTTGGAACTCGGGTTTGCGAAAGTTCGGAAATTTCCTGATTATTGAAAAAAAAACTCTAGTTTCAAATTCCTATCTGCAAAATAGATCCATTTTTTAAGGTTAATATTACTTGGACAAATGAATCTCTAAACTTTTTCTAACAAACCAACGTGTCACCTAAATTGGTATTAATATGGCAACTGATAATTTTGATTAAATATAAACGATCATTCCTTGATAATAAATTATTGTTTTTTTATGAAGGAACAATCACTCCTTCATAGAGGAGGGTCATTTTTTCATAAGAAATTGTCATTTTGTGTGAATGAATGGTTATTCTTTTTTCATAGGTGATGTTCCTTAAAGAGGAACAATATTTTTTTTTATGAACAACTATTTCTTAAGTTTAGTAAAAATCATTTTGTACCTTAGGTGTAATGGAAGTTGTCAACTCAGTTATTACGTCAAAGTTTGTAAGAGGAATTTATCAATCTATTTTTATTATTTCTTAATTATTAAAAATATTGAACTAAAATTTCTTCCGATGGAGAGAATCTGCTTTAAGAAATTCATATTATAAGGTTATTCTATTATTCATTTAATAATTAAAAAAAAAAAAAACTCTCATCTTTAAATAAAACGAAAAATAAAATAAATTTATGTACCCGCCTCTTATCTAAAACCCCGGACACTGTCAGCAAAAACCTCAGTTTTTTCTTCACGAAAATGGCTTCACTTTCTCTCAAAACCAAATTTTTTCTCCATCCAAACAACACTTCTATCCATTTTCACCCACAAAACAAGCTTCAAAGCATCAACTTTCCAAAGAAAGTAAAGCTAAAAATCAAAGTAACATGCTCGGCCGAAGACCAACAATCACAACAACGACAAAAACAAAAACAACAAAAGCGATTTAAGAAGAAGAGAAGTGTAAGTGAAGGAGAGAAAGGAGTTGACCCAGTTGGGTTCCTTACAAAACTCAACATTACTCATAAGCCCTTTGCTCAGTTTCTTCGAGAAAGGTAAAAACTTTAGCAAAAAATATGTTAAAATTTGAAATTTTGAAGTATAAATGGCATGTTCTGTTTGGTTACTGGGAAAGTGTGAGAAAAAGAAAATAACTCGAAATGTGTAAGGAAGTAATTACAACTATATGGCTTAGTTGAATTATAGCTTTTCTACTTTGGAGGTTAAAACTGGAGTATCATAAGATTGGGAATATTTATTTGGTTATTGAATTTTGCAGGCACAAAGCACTAAAGGACCTGCAAGATGAGATTTTCAAACGGTTCCTCAATTTGCAGGAGTTCTCAACTGGGTTAGTTTATTAACCAATTTCTCATTTTTTTTTTCTACTTTGTAAGAATTATGTTAAGCTGTAAAGACTCTTGGCGGAAAAAAATCTGGAAAAGATAAGAATTTCGCTGCATCCATTTAAGTTTTTACTGTTGACAACGAGAGTCTTCTTCTTTAATATGGAACCTCTAAGAGACATTCATTAAGATGATACTTTTTTATTGTATATGTTATATTCAAGTTTTAGTAGCTGAGAAGGTTAAGTATTTGAAGACGTTGGATAATCATATGTTGACATGTTTGTGATATTGGCAATGTGATAGTATTGATCTCTTGAATGTTGTAGGATTTGAGTTCCTGAAATAGTTTTTGCGTGATTCGGATTTGTTAAGTTTTAATGATTCTTGGTGTATTTGTGTAGATATCAGATACTGGGTATGCATCGTCATGTGGAACATCGTGTCGATTATATGGATTGGGCTCCAGGTTTGACATAATTCTCAAGAGTTGATAAACTGCATTTGCAAGCATAGTTTTTGACCTAATTGGAGAATCCCAGTTTTTCAGAATAATGACAATAAAAGTGGAATATTTTTCAGTTCACTTGACCTAGCAATTTTGCAACGGCTTCTTAGCTGCTAGTCACCCAACTATTATCATTCTCAATTTTAAATCTTCTGAAGAATGCAACTGTCAATTATTCTTAACTTCTCCATGATCACATATAAAAGTTAAGCATATCGGATGCAGGTGCTCGCTATTGTGCATTGGTTGGTGACTTCAATGGATGGTCACCAACAGAAAATTGTGCTCGTGAAGGTCATTTTGGCCATGATGATTATGGTTACTGGTTTATCATTCTTGAAGATAAATTAAGGGAAGGAGAGAAACCGGATGAACTATATTTTCAGCAGTATAACTATGTGGATGACTATGACAAAGGTGATAGTGGTGTTAGCATTCACGAGATCTTCAAGAAAGCAAATGATGAGTACTGGGAACCTGGAGAGGACCGTTTTGTAAATCACCGTTTTGAACTGCCTGCAAAGTTATATGAGCAACTCTTTGGGCCTAATGGTCCTCAAACAATAGAGGATTTAGGGGAAATACCAGATGCAGAAACAAGATATAAGGCATGGAAAGAAGAACATAAAGATGATCCACCAAGTAACCTACCTCCACTTGATGTGATTGATAAAGGAAAAAATTATGATATATACAGTATTGAGAGTGATCCTTTGTGGCAAGAGAAATTTCGTTCTAAAGAGCCTCCCATTCCATACTGGTTGGAGGTACGTAAAGGAAGGAAGGCATGGTTGAAGAAGTACACTCCAGCAATTCCTCATGGAAGCAAATACAGGGTTTATTTCAACACTCCTGATGGGCCATTGGAACGCGTACCTGCCTGGGCTACTTATGTACAACCTGGTGAATATTTTTTGCATCTGCTAGAAGTCCTACCTTGCTTCACCATAGTTCTTCTGTCAACTAGCTGATCCTCTTGTCCTGTTTGTTTTACTTATTTATATTTTGTTAATAGACCTGTTTATGCAACTTTTATCTAAAGGTCCTTTTAAAATAAATAGGTGATTAAATTGATGATTTATATAGATTGCAGACTTATTTATATCATGAATATATTCACTTATTCTGAATTCTGTTAATTTTATTCAGATGCAGAAGGAAAACAAGCTTTTGCCATCCACTGGGAACCACCCCCTGAATGTGCATACAAGTGGAGGAACACACACCCAAAAGTGCCAAAGTCCTTACGTATATATGAATGCCATGTTGGAATAAGTGGATCAGAGCCCAAAATATCTTCATTCAATGAGTTTACAGAGAAGGTAACTGTATGAAATTCTTTACTTATTGATGTTTTATATTGTACTATGATAATATAGATATTTTCAATTTTTCACTAAGATTTTTCTATTATAGGTCCTTCCCCATGTAAAGGAATCTGGATACAACGCAATCCAGTTAATTGGAGTTGTGGAACACAAAGATTACTTCACTATTGGTTATAAAGTGAGTATTCTTTCTTCCTATTTTTTTATTATCTCTAATATAGAACATCTTGATAAAATAAAGCATCCATGTTCATTTTTACTTTTTCTCCTTTATGTTCATTCTGAAATCTCTTTATGTTTTAATATTGGAAATCAGAAACTGAAATCATTAATAAGTAATTGCTGTTGAAGTTTTATTTCTACAACATCTGGTTTGTTTCAGTTTTATTATTTATCAAAATTGATGTAAATGCACAATGTAAGTCACGTGCATGAAATGTGTAGTTTTACACGTAAAACTGGATGATACATGTATAAAATCACTGGTTGCATATTTCAATTTTTTTTGCCATTTTTGTTAGGATTTCAATTGGTGTTGTCTTTTGACAAATATTCATTCACTTATCACTTTCAGTTGATTTAGCCTTTTTTTTTTTTTTTTTTAATATATTTTTTATAATGAATTGTTCTATGAAGGTTATCAAACATCTGTTTTGTAATTCAGGTCACCAATTTGTTTGCTGTCAGCAGTAGATATGGCACTCCTGATGATTTCAAGCGCCTGGTTGATGAAGCACATGGTTGTCAGTCTTTATCTGTTTTCATTCATTTTATATTTCATTGTTCACTTTGTCAACCCTAAGAATTACCTTTATGCTAGGAAAGTGGCTCAGTGACTTTGATGTTTCTTGTCAGAAGGGGGAAAAAAATACCACACTTACAAATTTATGTTTAGAAACTCTATTATAAAAATGCATTAAGGTTTTGTAAAAAGATAAACTGACATGATTTTGCACTTATCATTTTTTATTTCACAGGATTGGGACTTCTGGTCTTCTTAGACATTGTCCATTCCTATTCAGCTGCAGACCAAATGGTTGGACTATCAATGTTTGATGGATCAAATGACTGCTACTTCCATTCTGGTAAAAATTGTCAAAACTGCTAGAATATCTTTTCGAATTTAAGTATTTTGTCTTACTGATTCCTGTGCCCAAAATATCTTATGTAAATAGGTAAGCGAGGTTTTCACAAATACTGGGGAACCAGGATGTTCAAATATGGCGATATTGATGTGCTACAGTTTCTCCTTTCTAATCTAAACTGGTAAACATGAGTGGAATTTATTAATCATTATGTAATATGCACATTCTTCCATGTTTGTGCGCCCTTGCATTATTAGCTGCTTGTTGATCTTTTCTTTTTAGTTTCTGGAAGAATTGGTCCCCTTCGACTAGGAAATTTAAGTGTTGCTTACGAGATGATCTTTGAGCAGGTGGGTTGAGGAATATCAGATCGATGGTTTTCAGTTCCATTCACTCTCATCAATGATGTATACGCACAATGGTTTTGCGTCCTTTACTGGTGAATTGGATGAGTAAGGCGTCTATTTAAACATTTTTTACATCGTTCTTCTAGTTACATCTACTCTTTGTAGTGTTTTACGTTATTCTTTTGGGAGTTCTTGTGGTCGATTAATTTTGAAATACTACCATGTTTTTATTGTACTCTCTGATTAGCTTAGCTAAATCTTCTTTTGGGCACTGTTTAGAACTGTATTGTCTTTAAATTTTCAAATCTGCATTAGCATAAGGAGAAGTTCATTTGACTCTTAATTTGATTTTAAATTGAGCAAAAATCAATTTTTTCATTAATAAGTCATTAAAAATAAATAGAAAAGGAAACTAAATATTATTGCCCATTATGATTAATATTCACTTGTCACAAATTCCTTCTAGTCTTAGGTGAGCTTAGATCAATAGATGATCTTATGATTAATATTCACTTGTCACAAATTCCTTCTAGTCTCAGGTGAGCTTAGATCAATAGATGATCTTAATTTAACTTATTGGCATTGCCCAAGACCATAAATACAAGGTATTATTTTGTCTGGAAACCAATATTCTGCCCCTGGGTTATTTGAATATAATTTCTTCTTGTTGCAGTTATTGTAATTCTGTTGACAAGGATGCATTATTATATCTCATTTTGGCAAATGAGATACTGCATGCTCTTCATCCTAATATTGTAACTATTGCTGAAGATGTAAGTAATAGGGGTCTCTCTCTTTTCACTACTGATGGGATGAAGTTTAAATAATGAATTCAAATGCAGCCCCTTTTGTGATTCGGGAGAAAGAAACCAAAAACATCTGGAAAAAAAAAAAAAAATAACTAAAAATGGATTTAAACTATAACAGCAACAACTTCTCAAATTATTTATTTGTTATCTTTCTCTGTTCAGAGCACATATTATCCTGGACTGTGCGAGCCAACTTCTCAAGGTGGACTGGGATTTGATTATTTCGTCAATCTTTCTGTGTCAGATATGTGGCAATCTTTCCTTGAGAATACTCCTGACCGTGAATGGAGCATGACCAAGGTTGTTACTTGATATGTCATCCCAGCACAAATGCGATACTGTTGTTGCTTTATGAATTCTCTCCTTTATCATTTCTTTTTCATAATGTTTATTGATTTTATTTCTATAATGCAGATTGTCAGCACATTAGTGAGCAGTGGAAAGTATTCAGATAAGATGCTTGTGTATGCTGAAAATCATAACCAAGTAATCATCTGCTTTAAATTTTTGTTTCACGTCAAAGGCTTTGTTTTTTTTTATTGCAACAAAATATTCTATTGATTTTAATATTCATTTGTTTGGATGATGACTGCAACTTGTCTTTACAATCTTGCATTTCAGTCCATATCTGGAGGGAAGTCGTTTGCAGAGATATTGTTTGGTGAAATTACAGAGCATTCTCCTGGCTCAAGTGATTCATTTCTTAGAGGGTGCTCACTACACAAAGTATGCCAGACACCCCCATATTTTAGTAGTTCTTGCTTTATTGTCTTTGGAAATTTTCTTCTAACTCTGTGCCGTACCCAGAAAAAAAAAAAAAAAAAATTTTTAAGTAACTTAAGCTTTCTCAATGTTCACATGCCACTGAATTAGAAACCCTTTTTCGATGTCTCAAGTCAATATACACAGTGTAAACTTGTATATCTGGTTGATATTTTTATACATTGTATGTCATCATTCCTTATTTAGTTTATTTTATCATGATATAGATGATCAGATTGATTACATTTACAATTGGCGGTCGTGCTTACCTTAACTTCATGGGCAATGAATTTGGCCATCCAAAGGTGTGGTTACCTTGTCTGCAACATTCTTGAAAGTGCTTTTTTTTTTTTTTTTTTTTTTTTTTTTTTTTTCTCTCTCTCGCTTTTTCTGCATTAATGATCTTCTCATTGGCCAGAGGGTTGAGTTCCCAATGCCAAGCAAAAACTTCTCATTCTCATTGCCAACCGTGCTGGGATTTGCTTGCAAGGAGGAGTATATGAGAATTTATACTCCTTTGATAAGGTGTCAGTTTGTCATTTAATATTACAGCTTCATTTTAATCTCTTCAGTATTGTACTAGATGATGGAAGCTTTTACTTTTATTTCATAATCATATTTCCACCATGAATGGAGTGTATGCTTATAATTTACTTATGATGCCACCTCTCTTATTCATGAATTTTATCAAATGTGAAGGTTGTTGCACAAGATACGCATGGGTCTTATAACCAAATTATGACATTCTCTATCTTTTTCTCTAGGAACTAATGAAGTTGGATGAAATGAAAGGGTGCTTTCAAGAGGTTTGCCAACTTCACCATGTGAATGATACCAAGATGGTATGAAGTCTCTTTGCTATCAATTACAGCACTTGGTTTGGCATTTCATATGGCTACTTTAGCTTAAAGTGCTTCTTCTCACCAACTATTGGATTGGTTTCCCAGTGAATATGCTTTAGATTGTTGTGGGCTTTGATCCCTTGAAATTTACTGGACTGAGAGACTTGTTAGTAAATGTCTTACGATTATGAATGTTATAACCTTTGTGACTAGGCAATACATTAACGGGCAAATTTTTTATGTTAATATCATGCTTTGTATTCTAAGTAATTACCCTTTTTCTCTCCCTCCCCTCTTAAAAGCATATTATATCAGGATTAAATGTCTTAAGAAGAATAGTATTATCATTAAATTTATTCTCTGTATTTTAGTTTTTGATGGATGGAAAGCCTAATATTTTGTTCAAAATGTTGGCGGCATTTCCTTGCAGGTAATATCTTACACAAGAGGTCCTCTTCTCTTATTCAACTTTCATCCATCATCTGAGAAATAACATGTCGGTGTTGAAGAAGCTGGAGAGTATAAGTAAGCACTAGTTTTCTGCCAATTGTAATATTTTACCTTTTTTTTTTTTTTTTTTTTTTTTTTTTTTTTTAAAGAATTCTGTGATCTTGCTGCATGTTATCTAAAGTACAAGTAGAGTAACTTTTGTTCTGGGTACAGGTCATACTAAACACTGATGAAAGCAAATATGGAGGTCAAGGACTTATAAAGGAGCAGCAATATTGTCAAAGGACAGTTAGCAAACTGTAATGATTATTGACTTCCATGAAGTTATTTCCATCTTTCAGATAGTTCCTTTTTGCATTATACGCCATCTGGTTTTGATTCTTTTAATATGAATCTGGCTCCTTTGTCTATGCAGAGTTGATGGCCTCCGGAACTGCTTAGAGGTGCCTCTGCCTAGTAGGACTGCCCAGGTTGGTAGATTTTTCTGCCATTTTGTCTTTATCCTTTGTCACATAGACTGTTTATCTTTTTCGCGTTATATTGGGACTTGTTCGTGTTCAAGCTTCTTAAATCTTTGCTTATATGTATCCAAAATTACAGTGCAGAAATAGATAAAGATGTATGTATAAGAACCCATTTCAATCACAGAAAATGAATTTGTGACGGGGGATCTAACCTTTTCCACCTTTGCAGGTTTACAAGTTAAGTCGAATCTTAAGAATCTGAATCATTTTGCCTTGCGAAAGAAAAAAACTTGGATAGCGGAATACCAAGACGAAAAGCAAATTTCAGTTGTTCATTCATCACGGTTTCAATTTTGTTAAATCACTGCCAATAGAGACTTTCTTTGATGGAGGAGTTCCATGATCAGAATCCATATCAGCTTACCAAAAGGCCAGAACTATATCTGCCAATGCACCAATACCATGACATCATTTTAGGTGTTCCAGAGATACCAACCGCGAATGATTACCGATTACTTGTCAGAGAAGCATTGCGACGCTGCATGGAACATTGTTATTGCTGCATAGGCAAATGCCGCGAATTAATCGATGATGATGTTTGAAGAAAAAGCCTCTGATGACCACTGAAATCTTGGCTGCTCTGACTTGCTGTGTATATCTCTTCACTGGCTTATAGACATCCCATCTAAATCTCATCTTATGGAGAAATGTTATGTAGTTGTTTGTAAATAAAGATTCTGGCAAATATAAAACATTCATGCACAACACAAATTTGTTAAATTGCAGAATGAACATTTTGTTGTTACCATCTCCTATAATCTGTGTTTCACACTTCTATTCATGAATTTTATCAAATGTGAAGGTTGTTGCACAGATACGCATGGGTCTTATAACCAAATTATGACATTCTCTATCTTTTCTCTAGGAACTAATGAAGTTGGATGAAAATGAAAGGGTGCTTTCAAGAGGTTGCCGAACATTCACCATGTGAATGATACCAAGATGGTATGAAGTCTCTTTGCTATCAATTACAGCACTTGGTTTGTGCATTTCATATGGCTCATCTTAGCTTAAAGTGCTTCTTTCACCAACTATTTTTGATTGGTTTCCTAGTGATTTATGCCTTATGATTGTGTGTGGGCTTTGATCACCTGTGAAATTACCTGGACGAGATACTTGTAGTAAATGTCTTACGATTATGAAGTTTAAACCTTTGTATGACTAGGCAATACTAACCGGGCAAAATTTTTTATGTTATATCATGCTTTTAAAGTAGATTACCCTTTTTTCTCTCCCTCCCTCTTTAAAAGCATATTATATAGGATTAAATGTCTTAAGAAGAAAAGTATTTATCATAAAAATTTACTCTGTATTTTAGTTTTTGATGGATGGAAAGCCTAATATTTTGTTCAAAATGTTGGCGGCCATTTCCTTTGCAGGTAATATCTTACACAAGAGGTCCTCTTCTCTTTATATTCAACTTTCATCCATCAGATTCTTATGAGAAATAACTGTCGGTGTTGAAGAGCTGGAGAGTATAGTAAGCACTAGTTTTCTGCCAATTGTAATATTTTACCTTTTTTTTTTTTTTTTTTTTTTTTTTTTATGCAGATTGTCAGCACATTAGTGAGCAGTGGAAAGTATTCAGATAAGATGCTTGTGTATGCTGAAAATCATAACCAAGTAATCATCTGCTTTAAATTTTTGTTTCACGTCAAAGGCTTTGTTTTTTTTTATTGCAACAAAATATTCTATTGATTTTAATATTCATTTGTTTGGATGATGACTGCAACTTGTCTTTACAATCTTGCATTTCAGTCCATATCTGGAGGGAAGTCGTTTGCAGAGATATTGTTTGGTGAAATTACAGAGCATTCTCCTGGCTCAAGTGATTCATTGCTTAGAGGGTGCTCACTACACAAAGTATGCCAGACACCCCCATATTTTAGTATTTCTTGCTTTATTGTCTTTGGAAATTTTCTTCTAACTCTGTGCAGTACCCAGAAAAAAAAAAAAAAAAAAATTTCTTAATGTAACTTTCAGACTTTCTCAATGTTCCACATGCCACTGAATTAGAAACGCTTTTTCGATGTCTCAAGTCAATATACACAGTGTAAACTTGTATATCTGGTTGATATTTTTATACATTTGTATGTCATGCATTTCCTTATTTAGTTTAATTTTATCATGATATAGATGATCAGATTGATTACATTTACAATTGGCGGTCGTGCTTACCTTAACTTCATGGGCAATGAATTTGGCCATCCAAAGGTGTGGTTACCTTGTCTGCAACATTCGTGAATGCTTTTTTTTTTTTTTTTTCTTCTTCTCTCTCTCGCTTTTTCTGTGATTAATGATCTTCTCATTGGCCAGAGGGTTGAGTTCCCAATGCCAAGCAACAACTTCTCATTCTCACTTGCCAACCGTCGCTGGGATTTGCTTGCAAATGGAGGAGTATATGAGAATTTATACTCCTTTGATAAGGTGTCAGTTTGCCATTTAATATTACACCTTCATTGTAGTTTATTCATTCATGATAAAACTTACTGTTGGGGTTAATCTCTTCAGTATTGTACTAGATGATGGAAGCTTTTTACTGTTTATCATAATCACATTTTCCACCATGAATGGAGTGTACTGCTTATAATTTACTTATGATGCCATCTACTCTTATCGAATTTTCTCAAATGTGAAGGTGTTTGCACAAGATACGCATGGGTCTTATAACCAAATTATGACATATCTATCTTTTTCTCTAGGAACTAATGAAGTTGGATGAAAATGAAAGGGTGCTTTCAAGAGGTTTGCCAAACATTCACCATGAATGATACCAAGATGGTATGAAGTCTCTTTGCTATCAATTACAGCACTGGTTTGTACATTTCACATGGCTCATCTTTAGCTTAAAGTGCTTCTTCACCCACTATTTTTGATTGGTTTCCTCCAGTGAATATTGCCTTTATGATTGTGTGTGGGCTTTGATCCCCATGAAATTTACCTGGACTGAGATAACTTGTTAGTAATGTCTTACGATTATGAATGTTATAACCTTTGTATGACTAGGCAATACATTAACCGAGGCAAAATTTTTTATGTTAATATCATGCTTTGTATTCTAAGTAATTACCCTTTTTTTCTCTCCCTCCCCTCTTAAAAGCATTATTATATCAGGATTAAATGTCTTAAGAAGAATAGTATTTTATCATTAACATTTATTGTCTGTATTTTAGTTTTTTGATGATGGAAAGCCTTAAATTTTTGTAAATGTTGGCGGCCATTTCCCTTTGCAGGTAATATCTTACACAAGAGGTCCTCTTCTCTTTATATTCAACTTTCATCCATCAATTCTTATGAGAAATACAATGTCGGTGTTGAAGGCTGGAGAGTATAAGTAAGCACTTTTTTCTGCCAATTGTAATATTTTACCTTTTTTTTTTTTTTTTTTTTTTTTTTTTTTTTTTTTTTAAGAATTCTGTGATCTTGCTGCATGTTATCTAAAGTACCAAGTAGGTAACTTTTGTTCTGGTACAGGTCTACTAAATACTGATGAAAGCATATGGAGGTCAGGACTTATAAAGGACAGCAATTTTGTCAAAGGCAGTTAGCAAACTGTAATGATTATTGACTTCCATGAAGTTATCCATCTTTCAGATAGTTCCTTTTTGCATTATACGCCATCGGGTTTGATTCTTTTAATATGAATCTGGCCCTTTGTCGATGCAGAGTTGATGGCCTCCGAACTGCTTAAGGTCCTCTGCCTAGTAGGACTGCCCAGGTTGGTAGATTTTTCTGCCATTTTGTCTTTATCCTTTGTCACATAGACTGTTTATCTTTTTCGCGTTATATTGGGACTTGTTCGTGTTCAAGCTTCTTAAATCTTTGCTTATATGTATCCAAAATTACAGTGCAGAAATAGATAAGATGTATGATAAGAACCCATTTCAATCACAGAAATGAATTTGTGACGGGGGATCTAACCTTTTCCACCTTTGCAGGTTACAATTAAGTCGAATCTTAAGAATCTAGTCATTTTGCCTTGCGAAAAAAACTTGGATGCGGAATAACAAGACAAAAAGCAAATTTCGGTTGTTCATTCATCTGGTTTCAATGTTGTTAAATCACTGCCATAGAGACTTTCTTGATGAGGGGTTCCATGATCAGAATCCTATCAGCTTACCAAAAGGCCAGAACTATTCTGCAATGTACCAATACCATGTGATCTTTTAGGTGTTCCAGAGATACCACGGAATGATTACCGATTACTTGTCAGAGAAGCATTGCGACACTGCACGGAACATTGTTATTGCTGCATAGGCGAATGCCGCGAATTAATCGATGATGATGTTTGAAGAAAAAGCCTCTGATGACCCCTGAAACTTGGCTGCACGGAACATTGTTATTGAGAAACGTTATGTAGTTGTTTGTAAAAAGATTCTGGCAAATATAAACATTCATGCACAACACAAATTGTTAAATTGCAGAATGAACATTTTGTTGTTACCATCTCCTATAATCTGTGTTTCGAATAAGGGTGTTCAAAAATGCAAAAACCAAATCGAACCATTGACCAACTGAAAAACAGGTTAACTGGGAAATTGGTCGTTTTAGTTATGGAAATGAAAAAACCGGATTTTGGTTCGATACTGTTTGGGAAAAAATGCAAATCGTTATTGCAATCGGTTTTTCAAACCGGTTTCCAATATTATATATTAGTGTTAAATTAAAATATTAAAAAATCCCTAAACTGGTTTGCATTAATTAAAATTATATATTAAAAAAGTAGTATATTAATTAAATATTTGCATTTGTATTTCATTACGAACTTTTATTTGTATTAATTTTAAATGTATATTTAATTTTTATTTAAATATGTATTGTTGATGTTTACAATTTAAATCATGAGAAATAAAAAAAAATAATTTAAGCCAATTTAAGGAGAAAATCGGTTCAAAACCGGTTAATCAGTTTTTTCTAAGCGGTTAACCGGTTTTTCAGTTAACTGAAAAACCGGTTCAGTTCAAAAAAATGGTTAACTGGTTTTGAACACTCCTAATTTCAAATTCAATCCTCTTTTTGTATACTGACTAATTTTTTTAATATTTTCATTGATTTATTTCAGTTTATGGTTTAGAACATAAATCACTTGACATGAACGCATTTGTTATTATTGAAGAGTATAAAAAAACTCTTTAAAATATTAAAAATCTCTCTAAAGTTATCAAAAACCTCCTCAGGAGGCATTTGGTTTAGAAAATATTAGATTACTAGAAAGATAGATTACCTTGAAGATTATTGGGAATCTTTAAGAAAATGAGTTTAGTTAATTGGTGGGTATGTTATATTAATATGTTTAGTTGAGAGGAATAAATTGGTGGGTATGTTATTTAAATTACTGAATTGTCATCTAATTAAATATTATTATTATTATATTATTTTTTAATATTGATTATTATTTGTATTATATAACCCTACATTTAAAAACTTAGCAAAAACAACCCCATAATAAAAGTTTGAAAAATCAACAAAGCACCCCCACCAACCAAACCATCGCAGGCCCCCGGCAGCCGGCAACCTAACGGCGCACGGAAGGCAGGAAGTGGCCTCCGTGCTTCGTATGGCTATTTCTGGCTAGAGATTTGGTCAGAAATGGCTAAACTTGACAGATCTGGCCGTCGACGAGCAGATCGACGGATCTGGCCTTTGATGGCCAAATTAGATCTAGCCATCAATGGCTAGATCGACGCACGGTGGCCATTTTCGGCCTTCGGTGTGCCGTTCTGGCGACGGTTTGCCAGCGGCAAGCGGCGGCAAGTGGGTGGGGGTGGGGGTGGTGGCTTGGATGAGCTGCAATTTGTTTTGAATTCAAGAGTAATTTTATCCAAAAAGTTAATTAATTTAGGTGAAATAGTAAAAGTCATATTCATGTAAATAAATTTAAAAATAAGAGCATTATTGTCCTAAAATTTTATTAATAAGGGATAGAATATAACAAAAAAAGATAATCTTGGTAATCTTAGAATACCTAAGAAAATGGAAGTAATTAGATTACCTCCAATATTACCAATAGTAATCACTATTGGTATTTGAAAATTACTGGTATCTTATATTACTTGACAACTAAACATGGTAATCAAGTAATATAAGATGACTTAACCCCAGTAATCTCCAATACCCCCCAACCAAACGCCCCCTTAGAAAATTATCAAAAACCCTTGGAAAATTAAAGGGTTGAACATCTTAGAGACGCAAATAAAATAAACCCTAATTTAACCACGAGCTGTGGTCTAACTTGTAATTAAATTCCTAATGAGCGAACTTTACATGCATGGTATAGGTTCGAATCTGATTGTCAAGGGTTTGAATCTCACTGGAAACAACTCATGGTTAGTGGCATTTACTTGAGCCTCAATCAGGAATTAGTCTCATACCCTCGACCTCGAGTGGGGACATTTAGAAGCTTTTACCCAAAAAAAAAAAAAAAAAAAAAACCTAGTTTACATTTAAATTTAAAGCCTAGTTAAAAGATTTGAAAAATCAAAACAACACTAAGTTATGCTTGGATTTACAATTTACAATTTACAATTTACACTTCTACACATTTATTTATTTTCACTATAAAAAAATAAAATAAAATTCCTTTTAATTATCTGAAAATTGAATAAAATTAGAATAAGGATGAAACCTACACTTTCAACTGTAACGGTAACGTCGGTAACACAACAAATGTCTTCCACCCACGCGCATGTAAAGCACGTGTCAGTAGCTCTCCAGTAATCAACATAAGAGTTTTTCTTTTCTGTCTCTCCTATAAAAAGAAAACTTATTGAAACCACGAGTAACTTTGAAGAAAATGGCGAATCTGCCCCAATCGCTTTCCCTCAACGCGCCGTTCGGTGGTGGACCCAGTGCGTCGAACCCAAGCGCTGCCGCTGCCGCTGCCGCTGCTGCCGCCGCTGCTGGAGCTGGAGCTAACAAGGACCGGAAAATGGCGTCGGCAGAAAACTTGGTGCTCGAACTAAGCAACCCCGATTTGAGAGAAAACGCTCTTCTTGATCTATCCAAGGTGATTTTTATGTATTTAATTTTGATTCAATAATCGAAAACAAATGCTTTGATTTTTATTAGTTNTATAAAAAACTCTTTAAAATATTAAAAATCTCTCTAAAGTTATCAAAAACCTCCTTAGGGGGCATTTGGTTTAAAGAATATTGGATTATTAGAAAGATAGATTAACTTGAAGATTATTGGGAATTTTTAAGAAAATGTGTTTAGTTAATTGGTGGGTATGTTATATTAATTGTTTAGTTGGGAGGAATAAATTGGTGGGTATGTTATTTAAATTACTTAATTGTCATCTAATTAAATATGATTATTATTATATTATTTTTTAATATTGATTATTATTTGTATTATATAACCCAACATTTAAAAACTTAGCAAAAACAACCTCATAATAAAAGTTTGAAAAATCAACAAAGCACCCCCACCAACCCAGCCACTGCTGCCTGCCGGCAACCATCGCAGGCCCCCGGCAGTTGGCAACCTAACGGCACATGGAAGGCAGGAAGTGGCCTCCGTGCATCGTATGGCCATTTCCGGCCAGAGATCTGGCCGGAAATGGCCAAACTTGACAGATCTAGCCATCAACGACCAAATCGAAGCACAACGACCATTTTCAGCCTTCCATGTGCCGTTCCGACGGCAATGGTTGCCAGCGGCAAGTGGGTGGGGGTGGTGGCTTGGATGGGCTGCAATTTGTTTTGAATTCAAGGGTAATTTTGTCTAAAAAGTTAATTAATTTAGGTGAAATAGTAAAAGCCATATTCATGTAAATAAATTTAAAAATAAGGGCATTATTGTCCTCAAATTTTATTAATAAGGGATAGAATTGTAACAAAAAAAAGATAACCTTGGCAATCTTAGAATACCTAAGAAAATGGAGGTAATTAAATTTCATCAAATATTACCAATAATAACCACTATTGTTATTTGAAGATTACCGCTATCTTATATTACTTGACCACCAAACATGGTAATCAAATAATATAAGATGACTTAACCCCAATAATCTCTAATACCCCCCAACCAAACTTCTCATTAGAAAATTATCAAAAACCCTTGGAAAATTAAAGGGTTGAACATCTTAGAGATGCAAATAAAATAAATCTAATTTAACCATAAGCTGTGGTCTAGCTTGTAATTAAACTCCTAATGAGCGAACTTTACATGTACGGTATAGGTTTGAATCTCATTGTTAAGGGTTTGAATCTCATTGGAAACAGCTCATAGTTAGTGGCATTTACTTGAGCCTCGATCAGGAATTAGTCTCATACCCTCGAGTATGGACATTTAGAGGCTTTTACCGAAAAAAGAAAAAAAAAACCTTAGTTTACATTTAAATTTAAAGCCTAGTTAAAAGATTTGAAAAATCAAAACAACACCAAGTTATGCTTGGATTTAAAATTTACACTTCTACACATTTATTTATTCTCACTATAAAAAAATAAAATAAAATTCCTTTTAATTATATGAAAATTGAATAAAATTAGAATGAGGATGAAACAGACACTTTCAACTGTAACGGTAACGTCGGTAACACAACAAATGTCTTCCACCCACGCGCATGTAAAGCACGTGGCAGTAGCTCTCCAGTAATCAACATAAGAGTTTTTCTTTTCTGTCTCTCCTATAAAAAGAAAACTTATTGAAACCACGAGTAACTTTGAAGAAAATGGCGAATCTGCCCCAATCGCTTTCCCTCAACGCGCCGTTCGGTGGTGGACCCAGTGCGTCGAACCCAAGCGCTGCCGCTGCCGCTGCCGCTGCTGCCGCCGCTGCTGGAGCTGGAGCTAACAAGGACCGGAAAATGGCGTCGGCAGAAAACTTGGTGCTCGAACTAAGCAACCCCGATTTGAGAGAAAACGCTCTTCTTGATCTATCCAAGGTGATTTTTATGTATTTAATTTTGATTCAATAATCGAAAACAAATGCTTTGATTTTTATTAGTTTTATTATGTAGTTTCTTGGCGTTGGAAAACTAGGGTTTTGAATGCAAATAAATCAAGTTTGATTTGTTGATGCACGTATATTTATTTATTTTGTTTAATTTTTGGATTTGTGATCATATGGTGAGACTAGAACTTGTAAATTATAACAAATGGTTATATAAATCCGGATTATTTCGAACCAGAAATTTTAGGCGCCATTTCTTCTGTTGTAAGAAGCAATATGGGCGGTTGGGTCATTGCAATGTGCGTCTACTAGTAATTTTGAGCTTCGAAATGGTTTGAGGTTGAATAGAATTGCAAAATGTTGGTTAAGGACCTATGTTTATGTATAGGATGTTCTGAAATTTTTTCGTAACGATTTAGATAAAAGGCTGGAGATAGGATTTCACTTTTGCACACTAGGCATTAGTTGAAATCTCTGTGTACATGTTGACCATGCTCTTTTCTTTATATGGTTATGCAGTTTAGCTGTTTGATGTTTGTGTGATTTAATTATAAACTAGTCTCCGCCTTTGATTTTTTAGAACAAGGAATTATTTCAAGATTTGGCTCCTTTCGTGTGGAATTCTTTTGGTACTATAGCTGCACTCATACAGGTATGCCTAATAAACTTGTGTTTTGTTTTTGTTTTTATTTTTTAGAAGAGAGAATTATTTCAAGATTTGGCTCCCTTGTTGTGGAATTCTTTTGGTACTATTGCAGCATTATTACAGGTATGCTCCTCATGGTTCGTATTCTACTTTTTCTTCCTTCCTCCTCAAAACACCCATGGTTGCCATATTTTTGGTAAGCTCATTCTATAATATGCTTGAGCCTAGAGGAAGACATTTTTTATGTCATTTATTCTCTTTTTAATTGCATTACTGAAGCATCTGGTTGTCTTTCTAACCTGTTAGAATGATACTATTTCTTTGTGTCTAGTTATTAATTGCTTCTATGGTCGTGACCTTCTAATTTGATGAAGGTTAACCATACGCAGAGACTTAAAATATTTCTTGAAAGAATTGAAATATACTTTTCATAAATTCTAGGTTGAAATGGTGTTTTTTTTTTTTTTTTTTTTTTTTTAATGAAGGTAGTAGTTCAGATACGGTCAGGTTATGTTTTTTCTAGGGTTTCAATCTATATGTTGTTAGTCTAATATGTCTTTCTTATTGTCAAATTATGAGTTCCTTTATATAAGTTTACTGCTGTTTCAATAATGTTATAATCATTCGCTTTTATGCCCATCTTGTTGGATTTCTCCACTCCATCTCCCTTTTCTGCTTGCAGGAAATAGTTTCAATATACCCTGTTCTGTCACCACCAAACCTCACTCCTGCACAGTCAAATCGAGTTTGCAATGCTCTTGCTCTTCTTCAGGTTAGACATTTTTCCTTTGAGCATTGGTATGTTAATTTATTACTCATATTAAGGTTCTAATTGCTACATCTTGCCATCAATTGGGAGCCTGGGGATTGGCCTTTACCTTTTCATAAATTGATGAGTTCATATGACATTAAAGAACCCCTGGTGCAGCTTGAGAAATGGATTTATTTATTTAAAGTAAATTTCATGCTTTTTTTTTTTTTTTTTTTCGCTTGCCTCTAATGTGAGGATTATACTTATGATAAGTAGTGCCCAAGAGAGTTAAATGTTTTTATTATCTTGCTTTTACATTTTCCTATATATGGAAGGCACTTGTTCAAATACTTTTATTGGATTTAGTTTGTTTCAATTTCTGTAGATTTTTATATTGGTCAGTTCGGGTGTTTCTAATGCTTCAAAATTTTTAACCTCTTGTTACAGTGTGTAGCCTCTCATCCAGACACAAGAATGTTGTTTCTTAATGGTAATATTTCGGTCCTCGTTGGCATACTTGTATCAGTTTGGATAAGTTCTTACCCTTATTGTTTAACATGATAAGAGGGATACTTTTATTTCTTAGAAATCAAATTGTATTCTTAATTAATTTACTTTAAAAACAAAGATTCTATTGTGTTTTTGTAAGTTCTTATACATTTACATTTAATTTAAAATGTCTTACTTGAATGGAGGTAGCTCAATATTTATCATAATCATAACCTTTTTTATTTTTATTATCAAGATCTAACAAATGTTTTCAATAGGAGAATATCTGTTTCACAAGATACTGATCTGTTGAATTTGATGAAATAGTTCTTTCAGCTGATTGTTTTCCTCTTGCAGCTCATATACCTTTATATCTGTACCCTTTCCTAAATACAACGAGCAAGTCAAGGCCCTTTGAGTACTTGAGGCTAACTAGCTTAGGTGTTATTGGTGCCCTGGTGAAGGTACTTCCTTTGTTCCAGTTGCACAGATTCATATATATTCTTCCCCTTTTTTTGATTGATAGGTTGCTTTCTATAAGTCCTTCTGAGTTTTATAGATCTTGTTTCTTAAGGTTCAAAAATTTGAGTGTTATATCCTCATTCCTTTTCCATTGCAGGTTGATGATACAGAAGTTATTAGCTTCCTTCTTTCAACAGAAATAATTCCACTCTGCCTGCGCACCATGGAGATGGGCAGCGAGTTGTCAAAAACAGTTGAGTGTACTGATTCTGTAGTTTTTTAAGAATTTCTCTTTTTTCTTTCTGTTTTTCCTGTTAGTCCATCTGAAAAACACATTGCTTCTTTTTTACTGTAGATTTCCCACTGTAGTATGCTCAAGATAATGTTTGTTGAAATTCCTCAGTTCTAAGCTCTAAAAGTCTTTCAGAGTAAATTTCCTTATATGTAGCACATCACATCCTCATGGACTAATAAAGTCTGTGGGTAATAAATTGCTCAGAGGTTATTTTAGTTATAAAGGGGACTGATGGCCTGTTCTGGATGTTCATGACACAAGATAAATTATGGACCCAAACGTGTGGATTTTGCTTACCACCTTCACTTGAAGGTGAAATGGTTGGCTGGCTTAGCTGCTTTTTGTTGTAGTCCAAAGATGGCCAATTGGGATCTCATCACATTCTTCCTCTATTAACTTCAAACGTTTTATTAATCTGTACTCAGCTGCTCCATTATCCAAGTTTCCTTCTCCTTAATTCAAAGGAAGCAGGTTGTTTATCAATGCTTGACTAAATATTTGTGATGGCAGGTGGCCACATTTATTGTCCAGAAAATCTTGTTGGATGATGTTGGTTTGGATTATATATGTACTACAGCAGAGAGGTTCTTTGCAGTGGGACGGGTTTTAGGTAACATGGTTGCAGCACTTGCTGAGCAACCCTCATCGCGGCTGTTGAAACATATTATTCGATGTTATCTCCGACTCTCTGACAATCCAAGGTTGGTTAGATAACTTATGAGATGCTAGTGCCAAAATATCATTCGTCATTTGTGTTGTTGTACCTATTTCTCAGGTTCATGCTCACAGTCGATATGTTCTTTGGCCTTTTTGTTTCAGGGCTTGCGATGCATTGAGAAGTTGCCTTCCAGATATGTTAAGAGATGCCACTTTCAGTAGTTGCCTTCGTGTGAGTGTTATTTGTGAAAATTAGTTTTCGTTACATTATTTGAGGGTTTCAACGACTTTTATCTTGCCTGATTCAGTGATTGGGTCTATCTAGGTTGTTGCTTAACATTGTCATTTTAGGCTTATAGCAATCTATGCTTTTTGCTTCTCTACGTTAGTTGGTCTGTTGTGATACAAGTGCCATATGATATCAGTTTATGTTATATCAATAGCCTTTGTTTGTTTAGTCTGTTCCAGTTTTCTGAACTCTATCAATTGCTTGCAGGAAGATCCAACAACAAGGAGGTGGCTGCAACAGTTGCTTCACAATGTGGGAGTCAATCGAGTTCCAGCACTTCAAGCTGGAGGAGGATTCGATCACATGCTAGTGAACTGAATTGAAAGAATGCAAATGTTCTTTCTATTTATGTCCATCGATCTCTTATTTTTTCCAAAATGGGCATCACAGGTAGAAGCCTATTATCTAAATCTGAATTACCTTTTGTCCAGGTCAACATACCATAGTTTAGTTTCTTGTAATTAGTGATTTTATCTTAAAGAGAAATGGGTATGTAAGAGAAAAGGTCAGGTGGGGTTGAAGAGGATAGTAGCTTGATTGACTTGTTCATATTTCATAAGCGGAATGATATTTGTATTAGCTCGCATGTTTTAGTTTCTCATGTATAATGAGAAGTTTGCTCAAGCTTATTCTCTTACATGCTCTCGACTGTTGTATCAAAGTTTTCTCGCGACGCAATGTTGCTCATGTTCAGGTTAAGGAAAATAATACAGTCACCGACGGTAGTGCATCTAATGACATGGTAAAATCATGACCGTTGATTAATTTTTACTTAATATTAATCAACGTTTAGTATTTTGTCACTTCATTCTGTGTACAAATTTGGTGCACTACCGTCTGTGGTTGTATCATTATTTGCAGGAAAATGGCCCAAATTAAACTTCTTTGACTGAAAAAACAAGCCAAGCAGCCCCAGGTCTGTTTTTTCTGCAATCATCAGGTGGGGGCTGCCGTCAATGCCTTTGCACCATTACACCCATGCGAGGAAAACAGTCAAGTAACCTCTGGCTGAAAACAAGCCAATCAGCTTGGGCTGTTTTTCCGCAGCCGGGTTCTTTGGATTCTGGTATTGTATCCAAGTAATCATGTAGTTGGATTAGAATCTTGAATAACATCTCTGTAAATTACAGTAGAATGACACTAACTAGACCCATTGGCCATTGCATGATAGAAGAGAACAGAGGCGAGAACCCACCTGAAGGCATCATGCCTAAACAGAGCAGGCAGTGGAGGCACTAAACATGAGTATCATATGGTCCTCTGATGTAACTGACTGGTTCATTATGTTATTTATATTAGGGAGAATGACAATTTCTTACCCAAGGTTTGGCTTAATTTTTTTGCTACCCAAAAGGTTTGAAAAAAACAATTTTCTTTCCTTTTTTTTTCCCAAAAACTTTGAAAAAAATAATTTCCTACCCTGTTAACTAACATGGTATAATCATTATAAAGACGAAAATACCCTTTACTATTTAAATCCGAATCTAAATCCATAGCCAAACCCTACTCTATCATGAATTTCTTCAAATCCAGTTTCTCTCCCCTTCTCATCCACCGTTGGCTCCACCTCCAACCTTGCTTCCTGTCCCCACACCTACTTACTGCATTTCCTTGCCCCCATTCTCACACTTCTTCCATTTTCACTCTTCCACTTACCAAAGTCATAGACAACCTTGCAAGGCCGTTGTTACCAGACCACTATTGTGGCCCCGACGGTTGCCAAGCAAAGCCACCATTACCCGTCACTAGAGCCCTATCACACAAGTCAAACTTCAATTTTTCTCAACCCAACCAATCATAAACAATCATCAAACATCAAAGAATCAAAGAGTCCAAAACTAAATTATAAAAAACCTGCCGCAAAGGAGATGAAAAAAATAAAAAAGAAAGAGGAAATCACCATTCTGTCCTTCTTCCGTTAAAGCTAACAGACAGAATCCATGAAAATTTGTTTTTTTTTTTTTTTGAACTTTTTGGGTGAAAAAATTCTTACGGTCCCAACCTTGGACGGGAGATAGTGATTCTCCTTTTATATTATCAAAAATAACTTTAAAATTGATTTGATTTGATTTGACGCTGACGAACTTTGAAACTTTCCACTTCCAGTAGTAAATTCAGGGCGGTGACCACTTTCCTCTTCTGGTGCCACGTCAAAGAAGAAACATTCTTCTTCTTATTCACAGAATCCAATATCAGCCGTTGATTATATTCCAATGTCAGAACAAAATTCAATTACTTGTACAACTCCATGTTAATTAATAAATTATATATGAAATTAATTAATATTTCTTATTCACAGAATCCAATATCAGCATTGTCATTAAGCATTATTGGAAAATAAAAAATTAACTGCATTGATCTATAAATACATGAAATTATTATCTATTACTCCACGTGGCAGATTTTTGGAAAGTACAGAACAGAACCAAACTCAATCACATAGTTAAACTGTCCTAACTCCATTAACTCTCCCCCAACACGTGCAATCGTTACATCAGCCGCTATCTCGCACGTGTGCCCTCCCAAACTCACTCTCACACTCTCCCCCCACGCGCCTACTTTCCCCCTCGCTTCGTAACACTCTCCCTCACTTTAAATTTCACCAAACACTCAAAAGACTTGACTTCAAAAATCCGCCGTCGGGAGCGATGAACCCCGAGTTTCTTGATATCTCCACGCGAAGCTACGCGGGCGTCATTGATGGCTCGGTGGCGGCGAGGGTTGGGTCTCCTCCGTCTTCGGACATGGAGGGGTCAGTGTACTGCGTGGAGAAAATCTTGAATTACAATTTCAGAAACAAGCGGCTTCTAGAAGAAGCGTTGACGCACTCTTCGTTCCCCGATGCGGCGTCGTATCAGCGGCTGGAGTTTATCGGCGACGCGGCGCTCGGACTGGCTTTGTCTAACTACGTGTTCTTGGCTTACCCGACGCTTGATCCAGGGCAGCTGTCGCTCATACGCGCCGCCAATATAAGTACCGAGAAACTCGCCCGCGTGGCCGTCAGACACGGGTTGTATCAGTTTGTGAGACATAATGCGGCTGCTGCTCGATCATAAATTGCTCAGAGGTTATTTTAGTTATAAAGGGGACTGATGGCCTGTTGTGGATGTTCATGACACAAGATAAATTATGGACCCAAACGTGTGGATTTTGCTTACCACCTTCACTTGAAGGTGAAATGGTTGGCTGGCTTAGCTGCTTTTGGTTGTAGTCCAAAGATGGCCAATTGGGATCTCATCATATTCTTCCTCTATTAACTTCAAACATTTTATTAATCTGTACTCAGCTGCTCCATTATCCAAGTTTCCTTCTCCTTAATTCAAAAGGAAGCAGGTTGTTTATCAATGCTTGACTAAATATTTGTGATGGCAGGTGGCCACATTTATTGTCCAGAAAATCTTGTTGGATGATGTTGGTTTGGATTATATATGTACTACAGCAGAGAGGTTCTTTGCAGTGGGACGGGTCTTAGGTAACATGGTTGCAGCCCTTGCTGAGCAACCCTCATCGCGGCTGTTGAAACATATTATTCGATGTTATCTCCGACTCTCTGACAATCCAAGGTTGGTTAGATAACTTATGAGATGCTAGTGCCAAAATATCATTCGTCATTTGTGTTGTTGTACCTATTTCTCAGGTTCATGCTCACAGTCGATATGTTCTTTGGCCTTTTTGTTTCAGGGCTTGCGATGCATTGAGAAGTTGCCTTCCAGATATGTTAAGAGATGCCACTTTCAGTAGTTGCCTTCGTGTGAGTGTTATTTGTGAAAATTAGTTTTCGTTACATTATTTGAGGGTTTCAACGACTTTTATCTTGCCTGATTCAGTGATTGGGTCTATCTAGGTTGTTGCTTAACATTGTCATTTTAGGCTTATAGCAATCTATGCTTTTTGCTTCTCTACGTTAGTTGGTCTGTTGTGATACAAGTGCCATATGATATCAGTTTATGTTATATCAATAGCCTTTGTTTGTTTAGTCTGTTCCAGTTTTCTGAACTCTATCAATTGCTTGCAGGAAGATCCAACAACAAGGAGGTGGCTGCAACAGTTGCTTCACAATGTGGGAGTCAATCGAGTTCCAGCACTTCAAGCTGGAGGAGGATTCGATCACATGCTAGTGAACTGAATTGAAAGAATGCAAATGTTCTTTCTATTTATGTCCATCGATCTCTTATTTTTTCCAAAATGGGCATCACAGGTAGAAGCCTATTATCTAAATCTGAATTACCTTTTGTCCAGGTCAACATACCATAGTTTAGTTTCTTGTAATTAGTGATTTTATCTTAAAGAGAAATGGGTATGTAAGAGAAAAGGTCAGGTGGGGTTGAAGAGGATAGTAGCTTGATTGACTTGTTCATATTTCATAAGCGGAATGATATTTGTATTAGCTCGCATGTTTTAGTTTCTCATGTATAATGAGAAGTTTGCTCAAGCTTATTCTCTTACATGCTCTCGACTGTTGTATCAAAGTTTTCTCGCGACGCAATGTTGCTCATGTTCAGGTTAAGGAAAATAATACAGTCACCGACGGTAGTGCATCTAATGACATGGTAAAATCATGACCGTTGATTAATTTTTACTTAATATTAATCAACGTTTAGTATTTTGTCACTTCATTCTGTGTACAAATTTGGTGCACTACCGTCGGTGGTTGTAACATTATTTGCAGGAAAATGGCCCAAATTAAACTTCTTTGACTGAAAAAACAAGCCAAGCAGCCCCAGGTCTGTTTTTTCTGCAATCATCAGGTGGGGGCTGCCGTCAATGCCTTTGCACCATTACACCCATGCGAGGAAAACAGTCAAGTAACCTCTGGCTGAAAACAAGCCAATCAGCTTGGGCTGTTTTTCCGCAGCCGGGTTCTTTGGATTCTGGTATTGTATCCAAGTAATCATGTAGTTGGATTAGAATCTTGAATAACATCTCTGTAAATTACAGTAGAATGACACTAACTAGACCCATTGGCCATTGCATGAAAGAAGAGAACAGAGGCGAGAACCCACCTGAAGGCATCATGCCTAAACAGAGCAGGCAGTGGAGGCACTAAACATGAGTATCATATGGTCCTCTGATGTAACTGACTGGTTCATTATGTTATTTATATTAGGGAGAATGACAATTTCTTACCCAAGGTTTGGCTTAATTTTTTTGCTACCCAAAAGGTTTGAAAAAAACAATTTTCTTTCCTTTTTTTTTCCCAAAAACTTTGAAAAAAATAATTTCCTACCCTGTTAACTAACATGGTATAATCATTATAAAGACGAAAATACCCTTTACTATTTAAATCCGAATCTAAATCCATAGCCAAACCCTACTCTATCATGAATTTCTTCAAATCCAGTTTCTCTCCCCTTCTCATCCACCGTTGGCTCCACCTCCAACCTTGCTTCCTGTCCCCACACCTACTTACTGCATTTCCTTGCCCCCATTCTCACACTTCTTCCATTTTCACTCTTCCACTTACCAAAGTCATAGACAACCTTGCAAGGCCGTTGTTACCAGACCACTATTGTGGCCCCGACGGTTGCCAAGCAAAGCCACCATTACCCGTCACTAGAGCCCTATCACACAAGTCAAACTTCAATTTTTCTCAACCCAACCAATCATAAACAATCATCAAACATCAAAGAATCAAAGAGTCCAAAACTAAATTATAAAAAACCTGCCGCAAAGGAGATGAAAAAAATAAAAAAGAAAGAGGAAATCACCATTCTGTCCTTCTTCCGTTAAAGCTAACAGACAGAATCCATGAAAATTTGTTTTTTTTTTTTTTTGAACTTTTTGGGTGAAAAAATTCTTACGGTCCCAACCTTGGACGGGAGATAGTGATTCTCCTTTTATATTATCAAAAATAACTTTAAAATTGATTTGATTTGATTTGATGCTGACGAACTTTGAAACTTTCCACTTCCAGTAGTAAATTCAGGGCGGTGACCACTTTCCTCTTCTGGTGCCACGTCAAAGAAGAAACATTCTTCTTCTTATTCACAGAATCCAATATCAGCCGTCGATTATATTCCAATGTCAGAACAAAATTCAAGTACTTGTACAACTCCATGTTAATTAATAAATTATATATGAAATTAATTAATATTTCTTATTCACAGAATCCAATATCAGCATTGTCATTAAGCATTATTGGAATTTGGAAAATAAAAAATTAACTGCATTGATCTATAAATACCTGAAATTATTATCTATTACTCCACGTGGCAGATTTTTGGAAAGTACAGAACATAACCAAACTCAATCACATAGTTAAACTGTCCGAACTCCATTAACTCTCCCCCAACACGTGCAATCGTTACATCAGCCGCTATCTCGCACGTGTGCCCTCCCAAACTCACTCTCACACTCTCCCCCCACGCGCCTACTTTCCCCCTCGCTTCGTAACACTCTCCCTCACTTTAAATTTCACCAAACACTCAAAAGACTTGACTTCAAAAATCCGCCGTCGGGAGCGATGAACCCCGAGTTTCTTGATATCTCCACGCGAAGCTACGCGGGCGTCATTGATGGCTCGGTGGCGGCGAGGGTTGGGTCTCCTCCGTCTTCGGACATGGAGGGGTCAGTGTACTGCGTGGAGAAAATCTTGAATTACAATTTCAGAAACAAGCGGCTTCTAGAAGAAGCGTTGACGCACTCTTCGTTCCCCGATGCGGCGTCGTATCAGCGGCTGGAGTTTATCGGCGACGCGGCGCTCGGACTGGCTTTGTCTAACTACGTGTTCTTGGCTTACCCGACGCTTGATCCAGGGCAGCTGTCGCTCATACGCGCCGCCAATATAAGTACCGAGAAACTCGCCCGCGTGGCCGTCAGACACGGGTTGTATCAGTTTGTGAGACATAATGCGGCTGCTGCTCTTGATGACAAGGTAGTGTTTTGTGTTTTGTGTTTTGGTTGTTTAAGACAATGAAACATAAATAAGTTTGTTTTTGTTTTCTGATAGCGAAATTTGTGGGTTTTTTTTTATTTTTTATTTTTATTATTATTTAGGAAGCAGAAAAAGAAAAGGGTTTTTGAAATATGTAATTTAATGTTGTAAAATTCTGCATTTAGGGAATGCTTTTATTGCTTTGAGGAAGAAAGGGTTTTTGTATGCCAACTATATTTTGGGTTAATAAATGTTTAGCGTGTTTTCTGAAAGTATTTTTATTGCTTTTGAATGTGAAATTCTGCTCTTCCTGATGTGTTTTATTGTATGTTATATAGGTTAAGGAATTTGCTGAAGCAGTGAGTCTAGAAGAAGATAATACTGCTGTGTATGGCGGATCAATGAAAGCACCAAAGGTTCTGGCTGACATTGTTGAATCTATTGCAGCTGCGATTTACGTAGATGTTGATTTTGATCTCCAGAGATTATGGGTGGTGGGTAGATATACTTATTTTGCATTTATAATTATGTCTGGTTTATAGTTTGAAATATAAAGTTTTTATTTTTTATTTTTTTGGGAATGTTTTTAGATCTTTCGGGGTCTTTTGGAGCCAATTGTAACCCTTGAAGACTTGAAACAACAGCCGCAACCAGTTACGCTTTTGTTTGAGCTTTGCCAGAAACAAGGAAAGCAAGTTGATATCAAGCACTGGAGAAAGAAGAAGAGAAATATTGCTAGTGTATACGTCGATGGTGAGTTTATTGCCTCTGGTTCTTCTGAGCAGAAGGAAATCTCGAAGCTTAATGCTGCAAGGGAAGCTTTGCATAAGTTATTGCAATCTATGCCGGTTGATAATGGTGGGATGATTGAAATTTTGAATGATATTGATGGTAAGTTCGAGATTGAAGGAGCTAAACAGAAGTTACATGAAGTCTGTGGCAAAAAGAAGTGGCCGAAACCAAACTACAAGTATGAACTTCTACTTCAAATTTGGAATTAAAGCTACATATAATTAATGTTTTGCCATTTGTTTTTCTTCTTCCTGATGAATTCATCCTTTTACTGATGAAATTGCATCTTCATCTTCATTTGATTGCGATGCATGCATAAATCATTAGGTTACATGAACCACTACTGGTGCCCTGGCGTCAATTAGGACTCTTGGTGATACACTCATGAGGTTCTGATTCGATTCATCTGGGTTGTTAATGGGGTGGCCACTGAGGGGTTTTATCCGATTGTCAACTTCAGGGCCTTGGAGATTAGTTGAAATACGGCGCAAGTGGCTCGGACACCCCGGTCACTAGAAAAAAATCTTAGGTTACATGAATTATACATAAGAATTGGTTGTTAAAATGTGTGTTAATATCTTTTTATAAACAGTAGAACATTTTTTTTTTTCTCTGCAATCTAGTGGGAAGGTTGAAAATTATTCAAGTTTATATGTTCTTCCAGTTAAAAACACAATCCAATAGTCGCTCATTTCACTTCTTGAAACGATTAGTTACCTTATATTATGTTCCATTAGTTTACTCTTTCTTTCTTTTTTTTCTTTTTTGAACTTTCAGAACTGAGAAAGATGAGGTCCTTCACATGATAAGAAATTCGTATGTTCATTCAAATTGCAACTGTGGATGGTACTCTTCATATCCAGAAGACGAGAAGTCGAGAGTAAGGGTGCAGAAAACTCTGCAGCTTCCATGATGATCCGCGCTTTACATAAGTCTAATTATCTTTGATTCCACTGATCGGTAATAAACGATATCATGTGTTATTGTCTGGTAATTTTTGCATCTTCTTCGTCATTAAGTGTGGGTGAATTGGGGAAAAAACATTCTTTTTCTGAGCAGTATCATTAAATAAAAAAATGATAGAGTTACTGAAAGTTACGCGCCGAATTTGTGCACGAAATAACGTAGCAAAATCCTGACCGTGATACTATTAACTTATAATGAATAAACGGTCAGGATTTCGTTACGTCATTCGTGCAAAAATTCGTTACACCTTTCGTAACTATAGCATTACTCTTAAATTAAACTCCATTTGATCTCGGGTGTCAAAAGTACAGGCATGAGATATGTAAAAGCTGTGTTCAATGTCGTTGCGTTTGCCGGGATCCTATAACTTCTGGTTACTTTTGCTGATCTTTAGTTGAATTTAAGTCCATTGACAACTTGACAGGATACAAAAGATAACTGTTTCCATATTCAAAAACATGAATGTTCATTTCATTTTCAAGCAAGTAGTGGTGTTGATGCCATGACCAAGAGTTTCAGGTCTAATTCTGTGTACTCTTTTAGTCCTTGATGAAAAGTCCTTGTATTCCTCAAAGTCACATTCTTGATGAACCTAGTATATAAGAGGCAACAAAACGAGTACTAGTTAGGCAGACTCTAATGTGGGTGTAGATAGCTTGGATACTTAAAAAAAATTGATTACTATGCTTTTATACGTTCTAATTATCAAGATGCCAATTTTGTCCTGAAATTCCTGGGAAACTTTTGAAGAGAGATCCAAGGATCTTTTAGTAAGAGCTACTGTTGTACTTCGATTAAGTGCCAGTAAGAATTCCATCTCCAGTTAATGGTCAGTATGGTAAATACTGATGGTGAAACTAACGTCCTTAGTTGACCGTAAAACGGGTCGGATTGTGGAATTGACATCCGTTGATTGACTTTGAAACTGACTCTGTAATGACGTTTGGATAACATCAGTCAGTTGATGGTTGAACTAACATCCCTGTTACGGCTGTTTGGTGGTCTCAGAACTTCAGTATGTTGACGAAAAACGTTTACGGTTGCAAGGTAACGTCCATTAGTAAACAGAAACAGTAACTCCCATTGTTGATCGACAGGTAACTTGTCGGAACATCACTGCATATGATATAAGGTAATGTTACAGTGGGTGGACGTAACTTTACATGTGCGAAGGATGATGCCGAAAATATAATAAAGTGACAGAAAGGCAAAACATTAACACGCAGAGAATCAGGGAGAAAGATTCATTCATTTGTAAAACCAATTATGTTCTAAATAATAAATTTGGCTTTAAAATTAACATTAGATTATTGTTTGATCTTTAACAAATGGTGAAGTGGTTATGCATGAAGACAATAGTTTGATATTTAATTAACAATAACACTACGGACACCGAAATTTTTACACCGAATTTTTGTAACGCCGATGTGGAACCGTTCTCCCATTTCTTTATAATTTTTTTCTAGTAAACGGCCGTCCATCAAATTTGGACGGCCGTTCACTCCATGGACGCCCGTCCATCAAATATGGACGGGCGTCCATAGGCGAGGGACGGCCGTCCATTAATATGGCGCCCGTCCCTATTAAAATAAATAAAAAAGTTTGTAAAAGTTAGGGACGGCCGTCCATCCATTATGGACGGTCGTCCATCATTTTGGACGCCCGTCCACATATGTACGCGTCCATATGGCACGGACGACCGTCCATATAATATGGACGCCCTTCCCTATTAAAATAAAATAAAAAATTTGTAAAAGCTAGGAACGGCTGTCCATCCATTATGGACGGCCGTCCATTAATTTTGGACGGGCGTCCACAAGTAATGGACGCCCGTCTTTCACCCAAATATGAAAAAAAAAAAAAATTTTCATTATGGACGGCCGCATAAATTTTGGACGGCCGTCCTTTTATTGTGGACGGGCGTCCGTAAGTAATGGACGCCCTCCAAAGTAATTCGTAAAAAAAAATAATTTAATTAATTTTTAACACTGGACGGTCGTCCCTAACTTGTGGACGACCGTCCATTAATGTGGGACGGGCGTCCATACTTAATGGACGCCCGTCCATTCACTATGGACGCCGTCCAACCCTTATGGATGGCCGTCCATAATGTTATTAAAAATTTAAAAAAAAAAAAAAAAATTTCGCGTTTTAGGTTAAAACATTTGGGGGAAGTTTCAAAATTTTTTTATTTCACAGGCAGCCATTACCATCTTCTTCGTCTTCCATCTGCGTCTTCTTCGTCTTCGCGGTGTTTTTCTTCTGGATCTCTCGCTTCTTCTTCGTCTTTCTTCTGCGTCTTCTTCGTCTTCGCGGTAATTAACAGTTTCCTTTTTTAAGTTTGTTTTTTGAAATTTTTGTTTTTGGTTGGATGAATGTGTTGAATGGAGTTGAGTTGACGAGATAAAATTCAGTCAATTTGGTGGTATGGTTTTGTGATTATGAATAGAAGTGTTCTGCCATTGATAAAGATAAATGGAGTTTATTTCAAAAAAATGGTTTGTGTAAACTACCGTGAATGAAAAATTGGTTTTAGGCTATGTATAAATTGATTTTAGGCACAATTAGACACATTTGATTCGAAACAAGGATAGAATACACGATAACACGATATGGAAACAGAGAATGTTTGCTTGATAATCAGTAGATAATGTACATTGGTGAGAATGGTTTAATTTGTCAGCTCAAGCTATGGATTAATTGAGTATGGTGTTTTGGGTTTTGTTTTAAGTTGTACAAATAATGTATATTATATATGTGAGTTCTGGTTTCTCTCCTGCCAAATAAAAGATGATCTTCTCCACATCCTCCCAATCCTATGAATACCCTTGAACAATCTATAGTTTTCCACCTGCCAAAGAAAAATAGATCCACAGCCCCAAAGATTAGTCTCCTTATAACAGCCCTTATTTCTTCCCTTTAGAGGTTTGCACACCGCAAAACAAGACTTGATCCCATTTAAACAGCCCTTATATTCTTCCCTTATAACAGCTTAACATGTTAGTCTTCCAAAGCCCTAACATGTTAAGCTGAACTGGACTTGATCCCATTTAAATTTGGACTTCTAACAATTTCAAGCATAAACATTAGAAAACCCCTTACAAATTCAGCAACATAGAACATGATGGTTTACTTTTTGCATTATGAAATTCATAGTCATACCTGAGTTGCTTGAAACTGCAATTTGAAAACAGCTTTGATCTTGTTCTTGTCGTTCCTCCATGACTTAACTTTTTAGGTCCGGATAAAAGCTTCTAGTTTTTGTCATGAATCTTGTGTAAAAGTCTCCACTCACCTCATTGGATTGTGGCAAATGATAATGCCGCTTGTTTGAGACCTTTTTGCAGCAAAATTTAGAGGTGGATGATAGACAGAAACGATTAGTTTAATTTTGTTTACAACAGATAGCAAACCAGAGGCTCCAGTCCAGTTCAGCTTAACATGTTAAGGACTTAAAATAATAAATGTTGCAGACACTTAGAAAATAATAAATGTTGCAGCTCATTGATCTACATGAAATAATAAATGTTGCAGATACTTTTCATTTCCAGTAGTAAGCTTTCTGGCATTCATCCACATGGATTTTATTTGAACAACAGGTTTAATTTGGCTATGTGTCTTTGGCAGATTATGATGACGATTTTTTAATGTATACAGGTTTTAGAAGAAGCAGAAATATGAGGGCAAAAATCACCGTTCCTCAGGAAGCACATCCTCATCTGCACTTCAATTTTGAGACTGGCGACATAAAAAACATACGGGACGTGTCGAAAAGAGATTTGCCTTGGAAGAAGTTTGGATTTAGACTTCTAACAGTTTAGGTTTAGGTGATGAAATCATGGTTGGATTAATCATTTGAAATGGGACCGTTTAGTCAGTATGAGATATGATGGATATAGGCATTTGATATATGAGTTTTTTGGTAGTTTGGAAGTTGTAGAGACAGACAGTGATGAGTTTCAGGCGTATCAATGTTCTTTAAATTAAAGATCAGAACTTGTAGGGACACCCCAAGATTTAGCAACCTAGATAGGATTTGATTGTGAAGGTTTGGAAAACGTACCTAGAAACTAGGATTCCAAACAAGCTTGGATTGATGTTTCCGAATAGGGCCTTACCATCCCATAGTGTGTAAATCTACAAAGTTACAGAATCCTGCTATGAGAGTATTTCACAGATACTTGACTTTCACATTTAATGGTAGAAAAGAGACAAATGGAAATGTGACGGTTAAGGATTTATTTTTCATGGAAGCAGCAGTAGCAGAGAGGCAAGTTATTCAGCAAAGTTATTGATAAGAAGTTGGGAGAGATCCCTGCAGAGAAAGGAAAATATATTGGGGGATGTTGGTTACGTTAATTGTGAGAAGTTGATATTGAATCACCCCTGATGATGCAAAAAATAAGATTAAGTTTTCTACAGGTTGTGTTGGGGGATGTGACATTGAATAGAAGGGTTTGATTAAAAAGAATGTGGCAGGACAATGGTATCTTATTAGGGATGAATCGAGGGAGATGCAACGGTTCAAGAAGGTGTCAGTATTCAAAAGGGTTACTGAAGGACAAGTTTATGTGCGCAAAAGAAGAGAATGGTACTGAACCTGGACCATTGAGATGTAGAAGATATGGGTTCTCATACTTTACAGAAATAGAAAGCAGATTTGAGCGATGGAAAGTTTCAAAAGCGTTTTTCACGAACTGAGAGGCAAATGCAAGAACTGCAAAGTGATTTCAACACTTTTGCATCAAGAATTGAAGAAACAGTTGACATCATTGGAGACCGCATGACAGAGATTTTCAACATGATGAAAAACTTCTCAACAGCCTCCTCATCCTCTAGTCAACCTCCACCCCCTGCACCATGATGAGAATTTTTCCCTTTTGTTTATAAATAATTGATTTGAACGGATGTTGTTAAAGATTGTGTTTTGTTTTAAATAAAGTTGTCTTTTGTTTATAATAGATTTGTCTTTTGTTTATACATATGTCTACAACTCTTTTCAATGTATATGTAATACTAGACATACCCAAAGACATAAATTCAAATCTAAAAAGAAATGCATATCCAAAATGTTATATACATTAACGTCATTATCATGAATTCACTTCCTACACAATCAATGAGAAAATCACAAAATAAAACAACTGTATAAGCATACAACTCAACTGCATGCGTAGAAATTC